GGGGGCCTTGTGCGTGCATACTTCAGAGCGCCGTGCACGCACGAACGCGGGCTACGATTGCTTTCCATACTGAAGAGAGGGGAACCATTCCTCGCGTTCCGCAGCCCTCTTGGCTCCCATGGCTGGCTCCGCCGGGCCGCGGCCCCCACTCGCGCCGCGGCGCGTCACGTGGGCCGACGGCGGCGGAGGCTGCGGTGCGCCCTGGCGTGGCAGCGCGGGCGGCGCGGGCGCAGGGAGTGGCAAGGTCCTGCCTGGCCCGCGGAAGCCTGCTTGGGGCTGCGGCCGCTGCGGCGCCGACGGCAACTGGGCCAGCCGCCTGGCCTGCCGCGGGTGCGGAGTGGCGGCCCCACTGTCGGTGCGCCAGCGCGCAGTGGAGGCCGCGGCAGGAGCGCCCCAGGCTGCGGGCGCGCGGGATGCCTCGCCGAAGGCCGCGCCCAAGGTCAAGGCCAAAAAGGAGGAGAGCGGTGCAGGGCCGCTCGCTGGCCGCGCAGGAGGCGGCGCCCAGGGAGCGCAGCCCCAGCAGTCGAGCGCGGCGGACCTGCTGGCCCAGCTCGAGGCGCGCGGGGTGGTCCTCTCAGACTCGGACAAGGCCAAGCTGCTGCCCAAGCAGCCCGAGGAGCCCCCGAAGGAAGAGAAGCCACGCACGCACTCCCAGGTGCTGCAGGGGCTCCTCTGGAAGGTGGAGCGGCTCGGCAAGCAGGCCAAGTCCAGGAGGGGCGAGCAGGAGGCCGCGGAGGAGGCCGTCAGCGCAGCCCAGGAAGAGTTGGAGCAGGCCAAGCGGAAGGTGGCTGAAGCTGACAGGAAGCTGGCAGCCGCCCAGGACGAGCTGGAGCAGGCCAAGAAGGTCCAGGAGGTCGGCCTTCCGCCTGGGACCAAGTCGTCCAAGGCAGGTGACCTCGCCAGCGCCCTGGAGGGGATCCGCGCCCTTGCGAGCGTGCTGCGGGAGCAGAGCGGGGCAGTCGGGGAGGCCATCCAGAAGGCTAAGGCCGCCCTCGAGGCCAAGGCGGTCGTCCTGCGGCAAGAGGTCGACTCCGAGCAGGCCCCGTCGCCCGAGGACGACGTCGAGATGGCGAAGGCCACCCCTGGGGCCCCTGCTGATGATGCTGGTCCTGCTGCTTCAGGTGGTGATGGCGGGGGCGGCAGGGTCGACGCCGAGGGCGAGGCTTTCATCGAGCAGCTGGCCAAGCTGGAGGGCGAAGGCCGCCGCAAGCTCGAAGAGTTCTGCCAGGCAGCGGGCCTCGCCCGCCCGACCACCAAGAAGCTCAAAGGAGGCGGAGGCGAGGCCGTCGAGCGGCCAGCCGCGGCAGCCGCCGATGGACGAGGGCCAGCGGAGGCTCCAGCGAGCGAGGCGTGAAGGAGGAACCTGGAGGTTGGACGCGGCCAACGCCACCTCCAGGAGCAGCATGATGAGATGGCTGCAGCAGGAGGCGTCAGCCGACGTTGTCTTCCTGCAGGAGGTCGCGGTGGCGCCAGGTGCCAAGGCGGAGGCCGAGCAGGCGTGCCGCAAGGAGGTCTGGAAGGTGGTCTTCAACGCGTCGGTGGTCACCGACAAGGGCGGCCTGTCCAGCGGCGTCGGGATCGGCGTCCGCGCCCACATCGGGATGGGCGACCCGCCCGCGGGGCCCGCCCTCCCGAAGGAGCGAGTGCTGGGTCAACTGCGCTGTCAGAGGGGGCTTCCTGGCGGTCTCGGTCTACCTCGTGACGGGCAAGGGTCTCGACGGCGAGTCGAAGCTAGTCCTCGGCCAGTTGGGGCGCTACCTGGCCAGCGCGGCCGTGCCGTTCGTGATTGGCGGCGACTGGAACTGCAAGCCGCGAGAGCTCCAGGAGTGGGGCTGGCCGCAGGCAGTCGGCGGGATGACGGTCACGCCTGGCGTTGCTACCTGCCGCAGCGGGGGCGGTAACGAGCTGGACTGGTTCGTCGTCTCCAGCGAGATGGGG